ATGATAATATTTTTAAATTATAATTTATAATTTAATTTAATAATTATAAAAAAATATATAACTTTTAAAAAAGTGGGCTGGCCCGGCAAGCCTGTAGCCCACGTACTTGTGGGTTGGGCCGACCGTTTTTTGGCCCACACAAAAAATGGGCTAGCCTGACCTGGCCTGACCCGTAAAATGTCAAAGCCTGTATGGGTTAGCCCGGATGGAGTGGGCTAGCCCATATTAACAGCTCTAACTAGACCTATATAGGGCAAGAGCCAAGAACAAATTTACTTCCTTTTTAATACTGCTTTTGGGGTTTCATAGATTTAAAAAAGAAAAAAAAAGATATATAGAATTGAAGTTGGACTTCTTTATTTGACTATTTGTATACTTAAATCAAGAAAAAAAAAAAGTTAATTCAACTTATGTCCTTATCAAGAAAAATCAACGCATGTTACGTTGAATAATAATAAAAAAAGATGTAGTATTAAGCACGTGTTCATCGCCACATATATATATATATATATACCACGAAGCCACATTTTGTTTCTTGTTCATGAAGCTATATAATTTCTTAGTGAGGGGTTCGAATAAATTCCCTTCCACCCACCTAAATCTGCGGCAGGATCCATTCCTATCAAATTGATTTTTTTAATTAATTATTTACCAGTATGTAAAAACTTTCCCAATAGATGAAGAATGGACAACTAGCGGCCACCAAAACAGTGGTAGAGGCGGAGCCAAGATTAAAAGTTTGGGGGGTTCACTGAATCGTTAATCAATTTTTGTTAGAGGTTCACCGTTCACAGAAATATACATATATATTTAATTAATTTTCTAATACAAATACAGAGTCTACGAAAAAGCTAATGGATTCGTCCAAACCCACGAACCCCCACCTAGCTCCACCTCTGATAATTATGTTTAAATAATATTTAAAATATAATTTGAAAACATTTTCATAACATGACAAAATAAATTATTATTTATACAAATATAAATATGGACCCCTTAATATCATTTGTTAGGTTTTGACAAACAAACATACGTGTTTCTACTCTTGACTGATATCATGTCATAATTTGACAAATTAGTCTTAAAAGTGTATACACAAGTCATTTCTTGAAAGTGTTTCAGTACAACTGAAGTTTCTTTTATTAAATTAATTATAATAAATAATAAACTTCACAAGTATGTGTAACTTTACTGTATAATGCTAGTGTCGGCATACATTTTGGTGAAACTTGAAAAAGACAAGTTTTCAAACTTTTGTTGATTTTTTTTTATTTTTTTTTTGCAACTTAATGAGTTTTCTTTGATTTTATTTATTTATAAGCAGAAGTGTGCGGAGCCTAAATTTGAGGTTTATAAGTTCAAATATGAGTAACAAATGATTGTCGACTCGGATATAGGTGGGTTGAAAATGAGTTGAATGTAAACGTATGAGATATATGACCCGTTCATATTTCAATATCTGATTCATTCATATTGAAAATTTTGACTTTGAAATTAGTGTAAAGAAATGACAGCTCCTACATCCTTAATCAGAGGTCTCGGGTTCAAGCCACCTAAGTACGGAGTCGTCTTTGTTAGTGAATGTTTTACTCCCAATGTGGGACTTACTGGCGCGAATTCAAATTTAGTTGGGCTCCAATGTAGGTAGTGGACCCCGAATGGAAAACCAAAAAAAAAAGATGAGCCCACTTTACTAGGCTCAATGTCATTTGATCCTAGAGGCTCAGTTTGGTGTCACATGTCAAATGACGTGACATGCCAAGTCATTAAGATCACCATATTCAAGAACAAGCTCAAAAGTGTATAAGTCAAGATCATGACTACAAGATTTAAAATCAAGCTCAAATGCTCTTGAATTTTAGTACAAGTACTTAAGATCAAGTTCATCAAATCAACAAATCAAGATCAAGCTCAAAAGTTCTTGAATCAAAGTACAAGCCAAGAACAAGTTTAAGATTTAAGATTAAGCTCAAGAGTTCTTGAATTTATATTCGAAAAGAAGAATCATATATAGATTGTAATGCTCATATTTTGAAATCAAATAATATGATTGTTACAATATTTTTTAAGCTTCATTATTATTTTCGCGACGCAATATATTTCAGGCTTTAAGTAATTTATCCGTTTTGATTAGATAAAAAAATAAGTGATCCTTTACGTATTTTAATTTTAAAAAAGTGGCCTTTTAATATCATATTCAAATAAACAATCCCTAATTGCTTAAGCCTTCAATCGATTTAGTTTTGACTTGGATTTGTACATAATTTTCCTATGGATTTGGTAGAAGTATGGTATGTGAATCGACCTGGTAAGTGTTTGAACATGTGATTTTATTTTTTGATTAGAAATTATAAGATAAAAGTAGTGCCTGAATATGTAATTTCATTTCATGAGATGAAATATCAAATTCTTTAAAAAGTATGATAATTTCATATTTTTCAAATACAAAAATTGACCCATAAGTTTATATTTTGTAAATAAAAAAATCATCAATATTTTATATCTACATTTTTTTTTGTGAATAAACCAAAGGAATGATGAAATATTCACATAATATGGACATGATGAAATAATTATTAATAATATTTGACCATGTTCAATTCTATTAAAGAATAATATACGACAACTCATGCTCAATTTTTCTTTTTTTATTGAACTAAAATTCAATCAATAAATAGTACTAATATTTTTTTAAGAATAACTTTGTGATAATGTATTATACTTTTGTTATGAATAATAATTAAGATAATCTTGATAGTTTTAACAACTTATGAATTTTCTTTTTATGTTTATGAACAAAAATACAACTTAAAAATTCAAATTATATGTCCAAACAAAACTTTAACTTCAGTTATTTTATATCATGATCTCATCTCATCATACCAAACATACCTTATTAGTAGTATTAGATATTGAAAATGATTTAGAAATAAATAATTAATGCTAAGGTAAAATATGAAAAATAAATTCTTCTTTCTTTCCTTTTAAATTTCGTACAAAATCAAATAACATCACATAAATTAAAACGAAGTTATATTAAAAAGAAAAAAAAATACAAAAAACTTTTTTTAAAAATAATTAATATAGAAAAAAGTACAAATTGACAACTGGTACTAACTACCAAACAGACAATTATGAAAGAAAAAAAAGGTCACCTTTCCTTTCCCTTTCCCTTTTGTTTTCTTCTTTCCAAATTCATTTTCTCCTCAATTTCCTTCCTTACACAATTCAGCCTTTATTTGTTTTGCTCTGCCGTTCGTTTAGCATTATATTTTTTTAAAAAGGTATGTTATAGTACTCCTTATCTCGTAATTTACTTGACACAGTTCGGATTGTTAAATATTTTAATTTTGATTGTAAATTCGGGCGTGGAATCTTTTATGATTGACCCTTTGTTTGATAATTTCAGATTCCAGTGATCTTATATTTTATTTTTGTATGAATGTTAATGAACCAATTTGCTATTGTTACTTGCTTCAGGTCCTTGGATTCAGAAATCAGTATAAAGATTTGATTTTTGATTTTGTGGAGAAACAGGGCCAAACCCCATTTCAATTCTTGGGGATTTGCCTTCTTGTTTTCACTTAAAAAGAGGATCTTTATAAGATTTCAGAGGTTTGTAGTATTAGTTTGGCACAATTTTTGTACTTAAGAAGCTGGAGGTAGCATTAGTCTGGCCAGAATTGTCTTTTTATTTTATCTTTTACCTTTCATTTTATGTCTGCTTACACTTTACCCTTTTCGAACCTCACTTGTGTGATTACACGGGGTATGTTAATGTTGTTGTTACCTCTTATTTGATTATATATATATATCTAGTTGTTTTCTTTTTTTAAAAAAACATTATGCTACTAGAATCTGCCGGTAGTTTCTTATCCTTCGATTTCTGTTACTATCTAATGTCACTTGTAGTTTGACTATCACACTATTCTATTGTAGTTGTTGTTCCTTTTTATTTTCATGTTTTGCTTTGTCAATACTCTCTATAGTATCTGCTTTGATATGCTTTTCCTTGAGCGGAGGTCTATACGAAACAACTTCTCTATCTCCCAAGGTTGGGGTAAGGTTTACATACTATACCTTTCCCAGGCTCTACTTGTGGGATTACGTATGTTGTTGTATGCCAGTGGAATATATATAGAAGGCATAATACATAAATGAATATTCAAACTTGGCCTACTCACAAGTAACCACTCCAACTTTGAGAATGCGTCCTTCCTTATTTTCTCCATTCTTTTGGTTTGTTTGTGTCATTTTGTTTCAAATGATTTGGTTTCTTACGACAATACAAATATGTGAAGTGGAAACTTCTTAATTATTGGATGATTAGTTCCTGTCTCTGTTAACAGAAACTGATTAGAATTGGTTCTCAACAATTATTCTTATGATTTATCTTGTCTGTCTGCCTTTATGGCTTTTCTTTCTAAAAGTTACTTGTTTATTGGTAATCTGTGATAGAGGGGAGTTCAACCCAAATAATCGGTTGTTAAACAGAGAGAAATAACTGTGAACTGATAGATATCTACATTAACAATGTATTCCTATATGTCCTTTCACCTTAGCACTAGGACGTTTAGCTTAAATTAGTTTTTGTTTCTGCCTTGTAAATGGCCGGTTTCCTAGAGTATTGCCTTTGTCCGTGGTTGAGTATATTATACTTCACCTCAGTAAAGTACCTGACATTTTGTTTAAACTTACATTCACAGATCTCCCTGTTTGAGTCTTGGAGCATATTGGAGGTATGAGATGGACTTTTTAGGCTGCCTAAGGGACTGAAATAGATATGCAGAAGTATCTCTTCTTTTAGCAACAGGATGAAGATTAGGAAATTTTTGCGGAAAATAATTGCTATTCTGTTGTTCAGAATAGACTGGAAGAAGCTGGTTTTCATTGGTGCTATTCTGACAGTGTTTAGGATAATGTTTCAAATTTCTACACTTCCTTATCCTCTTACAGAATGGATTCTCTTCCCACCATCGGATATTTCGTCTTCCCGAAATTTGAATGATGAAAAGAACTTAAGGGAGCTTCCAGCGAGTCAAGATATCCGGTTTAACCTTAGTCAGCATGCCCCCCTAGTTGTTTCACTCAACGCTACAGCTAGACTGAGCGAAACACAGCAAGTTCTGGAAAGACGAGAGCAAGTTTCGAGACAGCGGAAAAGTAGGAAGCATGTGAATGCAGTAGATAAAGTTATTTTCTCTTCTTCACCTGTTAGAAACATGTCCAACCATATGCTGGTAAGTTTTTCATTGTGCTTATATTCCTTAAGAATATTACTGAATTCTTTGCCTTCTTACTGTCTTTTTTTCACTTGTATTAATATTCCAGAGATACATAGCATCTTTGACTCCAGATGAGGCACTTGCATATGCCAAACAAGAGATTGAGAATGCCCCACTGGTTACGGATGATCAGGACTTGTATACTCCTTTATTCAGGAATGTATCCGTATTTAAGAGGTAGGTATTTGATTATATTTGCTTAGATAGCTTATTTTTCAGATGATTTATGATGATATCCTCTGATGAAGAATCGTATTTATTATGCTTTATAAGAAAAAAAGAAGAAGAGTCTTATTTATTATGATTATCACTTGATTCAGTTAGATCTTATCCTAGATAAAAGACTAGACTTTTCTTCACTAAACAACCATTGGCTATTGAAGCCTTTTCTATCATGGATATCTTTGTCATTTTGTGTTTCAAAATTAGCTTTTTCTTTAAACACAATTAGGTTGACATTCCAGGAGCTATGAGTTGATGGAACTTATACTCAAAGTTTACATTTACAAAGAAGGGAAAAGGCCGATTTTTCATCAACCTTATCTTAGAGGAATTTATTCATCCGAGGGATGGTTCATGAAGCTGATGGAGGATAGTCGCCAGTTTGTGACAAGGGATCCACAAAAGGCTCACCTGTTCTATCTGCCATATAGCGCACGTCAGTTACAAAAGGCACGATATGTGGTGAACTCACATGATCTTAAGCCGTTATCAGTGTTCCTGCGGAACTACGTGAACATGCTAGCTTCAAAGTATCCTTTCTGGAACCGCACACGTGGGTCAGATCACTTTCTTGTTGCTTGCCATGATTGGGTATGCATCTGTATCGATATTGTCTGCTAAACTATGTATTTCTTTCATGAGCATTCTTCTTTGGACATAAACTTTTAAATTTGCTTTTACGCCTGGGGAATTGGACTTCCTTAAATACAAGAAAAGAGTAGACTTATCTAGTCGTAAGAGCACATCATGTGATGTGTGGATTAGACACATATCAAGGAATCGAACCTTGTCACAATCAAAAACCTAGTATTTAAGTGGAGTAGGGTAGATGAACGTATCTATTATTATTCATAGAGTTTCGAACCGTACAACAATGACCTTCGGACTGGTAGGGGTGGTTATAGAAGAAGAATTTTCCTGCATAAGAAACTACTCTCTCTGCCCCAATTTATGACACTCTTCCCTTTTTCGTCTGTCCCAAAAAGTATGTCACCTTTCTATATTTATAAACAATATAACTGTAAAATTCTCATTTTACCTTTTGTGAGATGATTTATAGTCGCACAAATATCTATGGCTTGTTTTAGACCACAAGTTTCATAAGTCGTTTTTTTCCTTAAAAACTTCGTGTCAGTCAAATAAAACCACATAGAAAATGGAATGGAGGGAGTATATGGTACAAATAAGAAAACATTTTTTTGCAATTATCATGTGTTGAACTCTTTTCTGGTTATGCATTTTCAATTGATGAGTATTTTTCGTTTTCTTACTATTCTATGTTTTAACAAATTCTTACAGGGACCTTATACTCTAAAGGATCATGAGGAGCTGAGTAGAAACACTATAAAAGCTCTCTGCAATGCAGATATATCTGAAGGAATATTTGTTTCTGGGAAGGACGTTTCCCTTCCCGAGACCACTATTAGGAATCCCAGGAGGCCTCTTAGAAACCTCGGTGGAAAAAGAGTGTCACAGCGCCCGATTCTTGCCTTTTTTGCTGGAAATATGCATGGTCCAGTACGTCCCAAACTTCTCAAATATTGGAGGGACAAAGATGAATCCATAAGAATTTACGGGCCTCTTCCCCATAGAGTCTCAAAAGTTATGTCTTATCCTGAACACATGAAATCAAGCAAGTACTGCCTTTGTCCGATGGGTTATGAAGTGAACAGCCCGAGGATTGTCGAGGCAATATATTATGAGTGTGTTCCGGTTATCATCGCTGATAATTTTGCGCTTCCATTCAGCGAAGTACTTAACTGGACTGCTTTTTCTGTGGTTGTCTCTGAGAAAGATATTCCTAGGCTAAAGGAGATTTTATTAAGTATACCTCTGAGACGTTACCAGGTCATGCAAAATAATGTCAAGATGTTGCAGAAGCATTTTATTTGGAACTCAAAACCGACTAGATATGATCTGTTCCATATGATTTTGCATTCAATTTGGGTTAGCAGGCTCAACCAACTTCAAGTATCGCAGATATCATAATTCCTCGAGTTCTAGTTGTTCCAACTTGATGGTTTGTGAGCTTATCAATTCGGATGTTGATATGCAAAACTTTTCAATAGCTGCAACCGGTTCAGTTCTCCTAACATGTGCACTTGTAATGATCTCTTCGAATGCTCCTTCCACACTTGGCTAGAAAAAAAAAAAAACTAGCTGGCTGTAGAAGGTTGCCATTCTATAAAGGAGTTTAATCAGAGAGATTACATCCATTCCATGAACCGATTAAGCAATTTCTGATAGCAGAAACTACTTTTGTACTTTGACAGAAAGAGTTGGCTGCAGAAGACTAACTCAGATAATGCAGTCCATGTACCAAGTCAAAAGTCCTGGCAGATTTTCTCTTATTTATAGTTCAAAGGCAAAAAGAACGCTGTTTAAGCTCATGTGTATGATCTTTTTGCAAGTAACAGGATTACTTGAGAAAGAAAGAGGAACGAGGGAGAGAGAATGGAGAAGATCAGAGTAATACTTCAATCTGATCAAGATAATGGAACATTTTCCACATTCGACTACACTCCTTTGTCGTGGATGTTATGTCTTCATAGATGAGTTGTGACTGAGAGTTAAACTGAGCTTTGACAGTTGATACCGATCGGTACATGCCAACATTCTGTGTGTGACCAGTGGTGATAAAATAGAGCCGGAGAATGAGTATGATCTTAGTTTATCGATGCATTAATTTTCTCTCTTTGCTTGTGTATGCATAGTTCGAGTCAAAAACAGTGGGTTCAGTTGAACTCATTCATGTATCATGTAACAAAACTGTATAGAATATATACTACATATACTAGTTACAAATAAACAAGATGATAACACAATAGAATCGAAACAAGAAATTACTCCATGTACAATGAAGCAATCAAAATATAAGAATCAGAAAACACAACCAGTACAAACAAGGAACAGTTACATCACAGCAAACTCGACCGATCAACTTTAGGTCAAAATTCTGTCGTTCTGGTGCAAGAAGTTCCTTCCTCTGCCTTTTTAGTTTCCTGAATGAAGCAACAAAAAGTGAACCTCTAGTTAACATTTGAATGATACATTTATGCTAGTGTTATTAACATAAATGCCAAAATCTGAAAGTTAATTGGTATATCACCTGTCATCAGTTTTACTTCTTTAGGAAACAATGCTCTAAATTTGACTTGAAGTTGATGTCATCCCATTCCAGTAGGTTCCACCATTCTGTTGTTCCTTTTATTAGCCTGATCTTATTGGAGGTTTGAATAGAGAAAGGCAATTTCGTTATTTCATAGCAATTGATAAGCTTAAGTTCCTCTATGTGATCCCACGGCTCCCTCAGTGTTCTTAATTTTGGTAATTCTTTCAACCGTAACTTTCGGACTCTCGGAATTTCTGAGCTAAAATGTGTCCATTGCACCAGTAACTCTGTCAGCCGATGACAAAAGGCAACTGATACTTCTTCCAAGTGCTTAGGTACAGAAAAATATCCACCAACAATAAAAAGACATGTTAGATTACGACAAGAGGATATTTCCATTTGACGTAATCCATAAAATCTTAGCCCCAGAAGTTGACCGAAATCAGAGACACTCTTTAAATTATGTACAGAAAAGAGACTGAGATGTTCCAGATTTGGCAAAGGATCATCAAACTGTTCATTTCCTTCTTCTGCTGGTGTGAAATCACAAGAACAACTCTCTATGTGTAGTGATTTTAATCTATCAAAACTGTTGTTCGCGATCAACTTCCTGAGACCCCCACATTTTAACAAGTGCAAATGTGAAGCAAAATGTAACATGCCTGAGAGCTCTCCGTTACTGAAAGTTTCACAATGGGAGATGCTTATCATCTTTATTGACTTGTTGAATGGTATTGACTTTGAAGTTTCCCCAATTTCAATGTGAAATCTTTTCATCCAGGTGTGGTCTCTAATGAGAATTGATGAGTTATCCAAATTAATGAAAAGACTGGTCAGATTGTGTAGAGAGGATATCTCATCAAAAGATGTTGGTACAAGAAGAGTCACTCTATTCTTTCTCATCATCCAATCTACATCTCTCGTTTTAGTCGGCAGCATATTTAAGATTTCAATTCTAGGTAATTTGAGGAAAAATCCATGGATGATGCTCTCCTCCAAATAATCTACAGGCAGATTTAATAGCCTCAGATTCGTCAACTTATCCATTCCTTGAGGCAGACAACATAACCTTGTATTATCACAATCAAACAATTCCAAATTGAAAAGGTTACCAATAGGTGGTAACTCTTTCAAGTCATAGCAATTTCGTAGTATTAGAGCACGTAGTTGACACAAAGTATCGATGGAACAAGGCATATCTCTAATACCAGTTTCACTCAGGTTCAGAACTCTTAGGGCTGGAAATGCCAAAAAGAATTCATGGGGAATTTCGCTAAGGAGATCATTGTCTTGCAATAGTAAACTTGTTGTCTCTGGGCATTCTCTGAAGTTATCAGGTAGACTTTGAATTTCTTTGCTTAGGAGAGATATTCTCTTCACAGAAGCTGACATTTCGATATGTGAAATGTCAGTTAACCCGAAGGAATTATCTATCCATATAGCAACATCACGAACCACATCATGCATCTTCACACAATCCGTCTTATGGGCTTCTTCTACCAAGCAAGCATCTTTTAGACTATCAATAATTGTGATTCCCCTGTTGTAAGCTTCTTCATATGTGTCATGTACACCAAGGAACCCCTCTGCCCACCAACACTTTATGAGATCTTCTGTTGAAATAGCTGCTGGATATAAGGAGCAATACAAGAAACAACTTCGAATGTCACCTCTCTTATTCTTCACATGTTTGCTTCTTTGCTTAGAGTATAATTCATTATCCTGAGATTCTAAAGAATCAAAACTCCACTTGATGACCTCGTAAACCTTATCTGTAACATCTTTGTTATGAGGTTCAGACATTCTAAGTGATTTCAAAGCATCTTCCCAGAGCTCGACCTTTGTCTTCCCTCTCATAGATGTTCCAATAACAGTGATTGCTAATGGTAAACCATCACACTCTCGTGTAATTTCCTTTGCTAATGGTTGAATATCCACCAGGTTGGCAACATCTCCCGCATTTTTGACAAACAGTTGCCAAGATTCATCCTCATCCAATGTGTAAACCTTCATTTCGGTGTCTATTTTCATTTGCTTACAAACAGCCAAAGAACGAGAAGTTATAATGACCTTGCTTCTAGCGGGAGGTTCAGGTTGGGGCACACCTACATCATCCAAATTTATAGCTTCCCAAACATCATCTAGTATGAGAAGGAAACTTTTTTCTTGCTTGAGTCTTTTATAAATTTTGCTGGCATTGCTCTTTACATTTCCCTCCTTATCTACCTTTAGGTTTAATCTACTTGCAATTTGTGTTTGCACGTTTCTTATGTCTATTGGTGGTTTGGGCACTGTAACCCATATCACAACACCAAAAGACAGTTTAAAACTTGACACATCCGTCTTCCGGAGCTTGTTGTTCAGATTATTCACCAATGATGTTTTCCCAACTCCTCCCGTACCCCACACACCGATGATGCATACCTAAAAGGATTTAAAAAATAATTTACCAACAAGTGAAAGATGCAACAATGGACGCATAAAAGAGACTTAGAAAATTTGAGAAACAAGGACATAGGAGGCTTTGATCATTGAACCATAATTTGTTGATCTCATACTATCATATTATCATACTCCGTCGGTTCCTATTTACATGTCGTCCTTACTAAAAATAAATGTTCCTTAATACTTGTCATTTCACAAAATAAATACATAAATGACATCAGTCTTCCTGTTTTACCCTGAGATTTATTAACATTGAAAATATGCATTTCACTAAGATAGAAAAACTAAGTAATTATTTCATTTTCATTGGTAAAGTAATCAATCAAAATAAATTAACTCATGCTCATTAATTGAGAACTTGAATTCAAGAGAACATTAAATAAGGGTACTATGATAAACTTAATCAGTTTCTTAAGGGGCGTAAAAACCTAAAATTGTGATAACTAAATAGGAATGGAGGGAGTATTATATAATTTATATTATTTAGAAGTTAAAAATTTGTCACAAAATTTTATGTTATTTTTATGACTGCTATTTCAATATGATATGTATAAGTGTGTATATGTATGCGTATATTTTGTTCTTTCTCCAGTCTCTTACTCCATGCGTTTAGATATGATATTTTTTAAATTTTAATTAGAGGTGTATTTTATTAAACTAACATTATTAATAATGCTTTGAAACTTTAAATTTGACTACTACTCTATGCAATTATTTAATACTAAGGGTAGAGATAAAACAATATTAAAAAAATCTTTTGATTTCATAAATTGGACAAGTAAATTAAAACAACTATTTTTAGAATGAGGACTAGGTAATATAAACGGCAGAGGTATTCTCTATTGTTTATATAAATAAACAAGTTTTGATTGGTATTGATGGAGTTTAAAATCTAAATAAATGCAATATTTAAAAATTTGACCTAAATTTAATTAATTATTTTATATTTTCTGCATCAAAATATATTTGTATAGTTATTATTCTCTACTATTTTCACTTGTGTAAATAAATATTAGAGTTTTGATTATTATTAATAAAATTAATTTTCTTATTATGCTAATTTACTTCATTATAGAACATCATTAGCTTGTATACTTAACTAGGTAACTTGGCCGCACTATGCGCGATCATAATCTTACATCAAATGTATAAATTAATCTTTTCATAATATTTAAATATAAAAGAGGTTTTAGTTCAAAATTAATTAAATAGATCAAAATTTAGATTTTAGTCCATCTTATATTCACACCGCACCAATTTCTAACAAATAGAATATACTATTACATGAAGGAAGTAAAATCACTTTTTCTTTTTCTGTTAAATATAAATTGATCAATGTCATATAACCAGCCTGAAGATAAACAAAGCTCATTAAAAAAATTATATCGAAAAAAGAGAAGAACATAGTACATCCATAACAAAGTAAAAATAACTGTATTTATATGCCGGAATTATTATATATTTAAAAAGTAGAATTTAGAAAACAAAATGAAAAATAAAGCTGATCATTTTGTGTAATTTACACACTGTATATATGTAATTTTGTGGAATATCGTAGATTGAAGATAGAGAACTGATTTTTAAATTATATACTTTTTAATTTTTTTCTTCACTTATACTTAAAAAAGATAATGAATAACATAACGTTTATAATGTAAAGATAATAAGAAAAAGAACGAAATTCAACCGATAATAATATGATAGTTGAAATGGATTGTAAGATGTATAAAAATAATTTGATAAAATATGGAAATTGTAATGTCTAAAAATATGATGAAGAAGGGAAATGATAATCTTGAATGTGAATCTCCATGAAACTGTAACATCTGACAATTTGAAATAACTATGAAGAGGCTTAGAATTGGAAATTTTCATATTTGGAAAGAATTTGAAAATCTTGAAAATTTGGCCAAGTATGGAAAATAATGAATTTTTGGCCAACTTTGAACAGTTATAACTCCTAGATCAGGATGATCTAGGTGTGGTTCCAGTTATGGTTGCAAAGTTCGTGGATTGGTCTTTCCAACGCCATAAAGTTTGCTCGTTTCCGAGTTCGTATGAGCGAGTTATGCCCTTTGAAAGTTGGGCAGTTGGCAGAAAATCTGTCCGGAAATTTGTAAGGGTCTTTTGGTCTTTTCCCTAGCCTTGTCTTTGGATATATATTAAGGTGTAAGACTTAATTGTGATCAGTTTTTCCCTTTTTAAAAAGAGTAAGGTTTAGGGTTCTTGAGAGAAAGGAGAGAAAGGAGAAGAAGAAGCAAGATTTCGTCAAAAGATCGTCGTGGATATCGTCGGGGGTGATCCCTTTTAGGTATGTGAGTTCATAGTGTTGGGTTGGTTCTTTCCCCCACACGCCAAGCTCGTTTAATTTCGATAAAAGATTGATTGTGTTTGATTGAAGTTGTTGGTTGGAATTATTGAAGTTGTAGTTGTGTTGTGTTGTAGTTCTTGTTGGTTTGGTGTATGTTTCCGGTTTTTGAGTTGAAACTAGTGTATGTTAAGGGTTTTGATGATCCTAAGTGCTTAGGGGTTGAAGCTTTGAATATTGGAAGGGTTAGAGTTGGAGAAAAGGAGGAGAAAAGTCAAGTTTTCGAGGAAAAGGGCTGGGGCGTCGCGCCAGCCAGCGCGCCCCAAGAGGGACTCTGAGGTCCAGCCCCTGGGGCGCCACCCCTACCAGAGCCCCAACCAGACCTCTCTGAAGTTTGAGGTCTAGCGCTCCACGCCTCTCAGAGTGCCAAGCTTTCCCATTCCTTCTCCACTTTCTCATACATGTTGCTAGGTGTTGTACCTATGTTCCCTAGTTGTTTCCAACACCCCAAGGTACGTTTAAACGTCAAGAACTCGTCCATAACACGTGATCAAATACTTTAAATCCATGATTCCAATTCAAGGAGAGTAAGTTTCTAAGTCAAGGGAAGTTAAGAGTTGAGTCTAGAAGTTCAAGAAGGGAGTCAAAGCACGTCTTTAAAGCTTTCAAAGAGTCTTTGTTGAATGTTTAACTTCAAGTTAAGTCAAGTTTCAAGTTAAGTCAAGTTGCAAGATAAGTCAAGAGTTTAAAGTTGTGTTCATTTCTCAAAAGTTATTAGGGAACTATGTATTCCCAAAGAAGTTTCCAAATGTTTTTACATTTGAGTAAGAAAGGAACTATGATTCCAAAAGAGCCTTTGGGCTAGTTTTCAAGAAAAAGGAACATTGTTTCCAAGTGAGCCTTCGGGCAAAGTTTTGAGTAATTATCTCAAATAAAGAAAGATGTGTTTAAAACACTTATGAGCTTAAGTATTTTTGGGAGTAGTCTTGAGCACCGAATTGGGGACACGAGTTCATATAAACTCAACTCTCCATAAGAACCATGCGCCAACATGGGAGTTAACGGGTCATACATTTTAGATGAATCCGTAAGATTAAGCTAGTGGATCCACTTAGTAAAGTTATCTTCCTATATCAACGGCAAGGTATAGGATGGTCCTTGGGCAACGTGAGGTAAAACGTTGTATCACCACTAGGGCTCATGGTGGTGATTGTCGGTTGAAAGAGTCTCCCACTAAAGTTATATTACTTTTATATAAGTAAAGTTGAGTTGTTATTGCTTTATCTTTAACAAGCTAAGTTGTCTACACTATTTTGCAAGCTTTATATATTGCATGTGTCGTATTGCTTTATATATTGAGTTCAGTTATTCATGAGTTGAACAGAGCCAAGGTAAGAGTTCCTTTGTACTCCTTCCAAGTTTAAGTTATGGTTTAGCTTTCCATCTCGCATACTCGTACATTCAATGTACTGATGCCAGTTGGCTTGCATCTTATTATGATGCAAACACAAGTACCCAGGGCCAACATCCGGTTTGCCGTTGATCCAGTTGAGTACTTCAGAGTCAGTGGTGAGCCTCTTTGCATTCCGGAGGACTCGGTTATTTTGTTCCCTCAAGTTTTGTTTTATTAGGATGTCGTAGGGTCTGTCCCAACATCCATCTCAGTATTTTAGAGGCTTCATAGACAGTCAGTCAGTTGGTTTGGAGTCTCTCATCTATGTATATATGTAAATATTCTATTTTGAGACTCGAGTTGCCTTTTGGCCAGATTTTATTTCAGTCAGGTTGTTTTAAAACCTTGCATTGCATTGAGTTTTCCGCTGAGTTAAGAAAGCCAGGCCAAGGGTTCGCTTGGGGGCCAGTAATGGTCTTCGAGTGCCAGCCATGTCCAGGGTGTAGACTCGGGGCGTGACAGAAACTAAATATGAATTTATATAGGCAAAATTGAGGAATACCATAAGACATCATAAACTTACAAATTAATGTTTGGAGGTTATGGACATCAAAATTATGAGAGTCTTGAATATTATTAAAAATAAAAATTAAAGAGGTGTAGGTCATGGATAATTACTCCGTGTAAATAAATTAAATAATAAAGAGAAAAACACTTAAAATATTAAAATATATTATCATTTTATGATTAGAAGTGAGGCTACAAAGAAAAAAAGAATGTGAAGAGCCTTTGTTATACTTTTTTTAGCCTAATTTTCTATACTTTTTTCACTAACAAAATGAAATTGAATTGCACTTTCTATATATAAAAAATAGAAACATGTAATGAAAATCCCGGAAATTGAAGTAAAAAAAATCAACGTGAATATTTTCATTCGTTTGAACTTCGAAGAAAGCAAAACAAATAAAAGAAGAAAAATAATCTAATAACTTCACTTCCATTTTCCTATCTTCCTTATCGGATTTACACTCTCGCTGGAAAATTCACATGACCTTTAATTTCTGTCCTCTTTCTCCTCAATTTGGAAGTCCAAGTTCTTGCTATGTGTAAGATCAAAAGAGAGTCATAGTGTAGTTTTAGTAGTACTTAATATTCTCTTCAATGTTTGTTATTTAACTTGAAATAAGAAACGTTTAGGTGCCTTTTTGGCTCTTTAACTTATATCTCAATAGTTACGTGAGAAAGACTTCAAGAATTAAGAAAAACACTATTTCAAATATGAAATAAAAAGAATAATATTGAGTAAGAGTTTGATGAAATAAAAAAATATAAATTTATGTAGACAAAATGGGAGGAATCTTTAAAGAAAATATAAATAGTTCTATGTGCAAAAATATTTTTGAACCTTTGTTAATAGTTTTATTACACACAGAGTTTCAATAACTAATTTGCATCTAAACAAAAATACATACTTGCAGTAATAAAAAAATATAAAAATTCAAACTAAAGAAGTTACATAGAGAAAACATAAACACACACATCTTCCTTAGGACCACATCATAAGAAAATAAATAAAAATAAGAATAAAGAATCAATGGCCACTTTTTTGAGCTCTTGTGTGACACCCTCTTTGACAAACTAATCAATATTCAAGAGTCTTCTTCATCTTGTCAAGTTAAAGCATGAATTTGACAATATAATAATACTACAAAGAACAATGAAATATAAAGAATAATCATAAGTTGGGATTTCATGAAACAAAAAACTTGTGAATTTATATAGATAAATATAGAGAGATATCATAAAGTATCTTAAAATTTTATAATTTAATGGTTGGAGGTTATGAATATGAAAACTTAAAAGTCATGAAATTAATAATATTATTAAGAATAGAAATTTAATAGATTTAAGTTATGAAAGTGAAACTTAAAAAATTAAATAAAATAAGAAAAAAAGAACAAATAAAGAAAGATAAAAGAAATACATTTATATTATATAAAGATATAAATTTCTTGAATTGAATAAACAAAAAAAAAAGTGAAAAAAGAACCAAGACAGGAAAGACCATTAAAAAAAACAACAATAAAATTAACTATCGGGAATAGTTTGCCGGATTTTTAAAAAAAACCAAATGAAAAGATTTGCAATACTTGATGAGAAATAGAGAAATAATTAGGAAAAGAGACTAATAGCATTAAGGACAAAATAAATTAAATATGGCAATTGATAAAGATATAATTAAATATGATTATCTTTAATATTTTTTAAATTTAGGTGAATTTTTTTTGTATTTTAAAATTAGAAAAAGGTAAAAAAAACTACAAAAAAGATAAATAGGATTGAAGCTCATAGAGAGCGCCAAATCACCGTTTTTACATTTAGCTTTATTATTATATATAGATTAATATTTTTCATCCTTTCATCCAAAAGATAATGTTTATGCTTTTATTAAAAAATTGTTACATGAATACAAAAACTAAATAAAATATATCATGATTATTAAATATCATAATATCATGGGTGAAAATAATCATGATATAACTGCATAAAATAGTAGTAGTCAAATTTAAAGTTTCGAAACATTATTAATAATGCTAATTTAGTAAAATACACATCTAAATAATTTTTTAGAAGGGAGTCATATAAAGAACGGCCAAATAGTATGAAACACATGGAGTAAGAGAGTGGAGAAAGACAAAAAATATACACATATATGCATGTATACACATGTTTAATGCATATATTATTGAAATAACGGTCATAAGAATAATGTTAAATTTTGTGACAGATCATAAAAATATTATTCTACTATAATATTAATAAACTTAAAGAAAAAGTTATAAATACTTGGGTTAAAAAATAGATTCCGAAAGGTTAAATGCCTAGATAACCCTTTGATTGACATGTTTTGTAAGATAAACCTCCAAACTAAGTGACCAAATAGACATTTGAACTTGACAGAAATGCTCTAGCCACTTTAGGTTAACATGGCAAATGGTGTGTTTTACACTAACATTGAGAGAGTGAGTTTCTATCCTTTTTAAATAATAGGTTAGAACAGTCAAGTTGGTTCACTCGATCAAGTTAAGGCATCGGATTCCAGTCACGACTCGACTAAAAAACAGGTTGTGACACTTTTATAATTAATCTGATAATTTTCTACCACCAGATAGTAAAATATTAGAATTAAATCTTGAATTAGTTCCAACATTACCTTATCATCTTCTAGTAGTCGTAGGATTTTGTTGAGATTTTTTGTTGCTGCTGACTGGCCTTCTATTGATGTTCCCGGGATGAACTCAACTTTTATAATCTGATAATTTTCTACCACCAAATTGGATCCAAAGTTTTCTCCGACCTCTATAAGCCTGTGAAGTTGATCTTGAATCTTCTGTGCTTGAGTGGAGACTTCCGAGCGAAGGCTGCATTTTGGACAACATTTATATGCAAGCGTCTTAGCCGTTGCAATGCTATCTTGCATAGATTCCCATTCTTTCTGCAGCTCGCAAACATCTTCCAACCACTTGATAACATCTAGTTTTGGTTTATAGCCTTCTCCCTCAGCTTCTTCCACCTTTCCTTTGATATCATTTCTAAACTTTGTTAGCTTCTCCATTTCCTCCTTTAGATTTTCAATTTTTGACGAGAAACGGACAATATTTTCAATCTTAGGATAGATGCATTTACATACAAACTTTCCCACCTCAACAACAAAGCCACCTACAGCATTAAAAAGTATATCCATTGAACAATTCTTTAGGTAAATAATTTTTTTTTTTTTTCTGATTAGAACACTAATGATGCTCTCAAAGATGGTCAATTTATAAACTGAGTGCTTCTTCAGTATTTATAGCACAATTTTGAGAGAAGGTAAAAAGTAAAAAGTAAAAAGTAAAACAGAAAGCAAATAGAATAAGTAAAATTGAAGGCAAATATGATCAACAAAGCAATACTTTATTTTTGTAAAATATCTTGTCCCATTTTGTAAAATGATTGTTCCATTCTTAACTTCATGAACAGAATTGTCTTTATTCTTTTCTTTGATTCCTATTTTCAGAAGCATGATGAAATTGAACACGTAGTGCAGATTGGGTGAGGAAAAAATGAGATACGATTAATGTCAAAAGTGACCATTCTGCGAGCATTTTATGAACACACGATAACTCATGTTTGATTCCTGTTTTCAGGAGCATGAAATCAAACACTCTATTCTCTGCGGATTTGAAGGCTTAACCAGATTGAGAAAAAGAAGGGGATGTGACCAAGTAGGTTGAAACTCCCGAGGCCGGTCTCATATTCAAATCCCAATGGAGGCAAAAACACTAGGACAATTATCTTGATCGTGGAATTTGTAGCATTCCAAACACCTATAGATCCAACTACAACTAGACAGCCAGCCGGTTATAATTATAATGGTTCTAAGGTAGCGAAATTTCTTGTCTGCTAAGTTTTCAGCTGTTTACCATAGAACCTTTTACCATACGAGAAACCTCTGTCACAAATGTGTAATAGAGTACTCTCTCATATTTCAAATTATGATTATCGTTTTCCTTCTTTTGTCATGAGAACAAAACATGGAAAATCAAGATCATCATGTGCTAAATTTTGAAGGTACAATTTAAAAACCAGAAACAATACGAGTTTATTACAAATTAACAATATGATCACACAAGAAACAGTTTCCAAAAAAGTGATTTTCAGTTTCCAAAACGTTTATACTTTATTATCATGAACTTGTTGTAAGGAGATATTAAATATACTATCAGAACTCGAGAAATCAAGAATATTGGCTAAATTTCTAATGTTTAAACATAGAAGCAGCACCAATTCATTACAAATTAACAAGATGATCACACAACACAACCGGAACAAGAAATGACTCGGTGTATAGCTAGTCAAGCAATCAAAATATCAGAACCAGAAAGCAAAAATAGTACAAAAAGGAACAGTTATTGGCATAAAAAACATCTGACAGCACACTCCACCGAATAACTTTAGCTCAAAACTTTGTGTCTCTTGGTGCAGGAATATCCGTCCTCTGCTCGAAACCCCTGAATAATAACACCTGTGATAATAAGAAAAAGAAAAAAGCAATATAAATTCTATTCAATTGCCTCAGGCATATATATAATCATTTTTAAAATTGGACAAAAAGGCTAACAAAAGATTCAGGCAATATAAATTTTGGCAAAGATTGCACTCATCTCTCAGCCGCAATTGTTCTGTCCAAGGCAAAGCTAAAACAACTAAGGACTTGCTCGTGTAGAAATGAAGATGTCCCTAGGTTCTAGTTGTTAAGACTTTGTACTTTGTTCTTAATTATCATTGTAGGCCTACTTTTATTTGTAGAAGTAAGTGTAGGTGACTTGTTTGTATTTCATTCTTGTGGTATGCTTAGCTCTCAGTTAGAGTTAGCTGAGTCACATGGTATTTGCAATAGAGGTATTGCAGTATAGTCTTACAATAGAGTTGTTGGTACTGGAAGAAGGTTACTGCTTTGAAAGAAGAGATGCAGGTTTGGTATTCATTTGGTGCTTACTTGCTCACTCCCGGGGGAAAGTACTCATTCACACAGAGTTACAATACACTATTGGGGCAACATGCTAGACTTAGAGTGTCTGACTTAATCTCGACAAGATTTGCTCAACCTAAGCATAAGTTCATATTGTGGCTAGCTATGCAAGAGACACTTACAAAGAGTGCTAATTGTCGCTAAAAATATATGTTTAGCGGCAATTAAGCTATTGCCGCTAATTAAATGCCACTAAAGATCATTTTTGGTGCAGTGGCTATGCAAGATAGATTACTAACCAAAGAGAGACTCAAGAGATTAAATGTTCCAGTGGAAGATGACACATGCTGTTTGTGTGATAAATCAATGGATGAGACATATATCCATCTGTTTTCTACTTGTGAATGGATAGTGAGAGTCCAAACTGAAATGCAACAATGGTCTGGGACACTTATTCCTATTGGAACTGTCAAACATATCCTCTAAATAGACTCAGAAGGAAGAATTAGAAGCAATTTCACAAGGAACTTATTGTTGCATTGTGCAGAGCAATGATATACCATGTTTGGAGAGCAAAGAACTGGAAACTGTTTAAAGGCATCACTGTAGAATTCAGATACAGCCGTGACACAGATTAAGAAGGAATTTGTAAATAGACTTGAGCTAGTCAAACGGTGTAGAAACAGAGATTTGTGTAACTAGAGTTCTGTAGGAGGCTTAACTCTCTTCATACCCATTAGGAGGTTGAGTGCTCTTTAGGTGTATTTATTTTTTCGCTTGTTAATGGTAATTTACATTGGTTACAAAAAAAAAAAACAGATTGTAATATGAACATTGGTTGGTGATTAGTGAAGATGTTGAGAATCTTATGTGGTAGGTCATGTTTTTACTCTCTTGAGCAAGGAGATTACCACGCAAATTCTCTATGTTCTTACTATTTGTTAAACTTGTCCTTTATCTCTGTTAATTGCACCAGAATCAGGGGAGGAACCTGGTTCGCCGATTTGTGGTGGATTCATATAAGCCATCAAGAATGCTAATGACACTCTCAAAGATGATCAAATGAAGCTACTGACTGTTTCTTCTTTGTTTAAGGCATAACTCGGAGAATTAAAAGAAAAAATTTAATAAGAAAACAAAGAGAATTATTTGTAAACATCAACGACTTGACATAATAAGAAAACTATGCCACATGGTTTAAAACAATTAAGTTCATCCATTTTACTTTAGTTAAACATCAACAACTTGACATATATAATAACAAAACTAGGCAACATGATTTAAAATAATTAAGCCCATCCACTTCACAGTAGGTAAATGTCAACAACTTTGACATATATAAATAACAAATCTGGACAACATGATTTGACACAATAACCACTCGGAAGAAACCACGAAATTCATTCCTATCATTAAATCGAGCTACAAAGTAGCCATCATTATGATCCATTCGTGTTAGACCCATCACTGTTTTCCCTTTCATTCATGCTTCAATTTAAAATTTTAAACCATAGTTGTGTTCTCCGATCCCCCAATACAATGTAGACACTTAAACAATCCAAAAGTTAAAGAAGTAGGCATATGTATCCTATGTGGCATAATACATGTAGGATGCCATGTAGGACACAGAACTGCCACATAGGATACATGTTTCTTCTTGTACAACTTTTGAAAAGTTTAAGTGTCTACATGTGCACGCCCAAAAATGAAGGGCATAGATGTCAGTTGAAGCCTAGTTAAGGGACACATTTATGTATTATGCCTAAATTTTAAATGTACAATTTAAGAATGCTCTAAAATGTTTAAATGCAGAAGCAATATTACAAATAAACAAGATGATCACACAACACAATCGAAACAAGAAATTACTCCATGTACTATCAAGCAACAAAATATCTAACAGGAGCAGTTACTGGCAGGAAAAAAAATTAAGACATTTAACAGGAAATACATCACAGCAAACTCGACCGATCAACTTTAGCTCGAAATTCTGTCTCTCTGGTGCTAGAAGTTCCTTCCTCTGCCTGTTTAGTTTCCTGAATAAAGCAACAAAAAGTGAAGCTCTAGTTAGCATTTGAATGATATTTGGTTGTCAGAAAATATTTTCCATCCCAATTTATGTGACACATTTTGGATTTTGAGAGCCAAATGAGTACTTAATTTAACCGCATTTTTTTTGTCTGAGAAATATTTTGAACTATCTTATAGTACTTTCTGAAAGTTAATTGGCATATCACCTGAGATGTAGTGAAAGTAACGTCAACTCTGATCAGACTGGTAGTAAACAATGCTCCAAATTTGAGTTGAATTTATCGTCATCCCACTCCAATAGGCTCCACCATCTCGGTGATCCTCTTATTACTTTGATTTTGTTGGAGGTTTGAATAGAGAGAGGCAACTTCTTTATTTCATAGCAATTGATCACCTCAAGTTCATCCATGTGTTCCCACATACTCTGTGGCTCCCCCAACGTTCCTAATTTCGGCAAGTCTCTCAGCACTAACTTCCGAACTTTTGGAATTTCTGAGTTGTCGAGTGCCCTCTGACTAGAGCCGCATTGTACTAACAACTCTACCACCTGTTTACAATGGTTAATTGTAATTTCTTCCAAGTGCTTGGGTACAGAAAAAGCATTAAAAAGACATGTTAAATTACGACAATAGGATATATCCAGTTGTCGTAATTCAGAAAATCTAAGACCCAGAAGTTGACCGAAATCAGAAACACTCTTTAAATGATCTACAGAAGCGAGGCTGAGATGTTCCAGATTTGGCAGAGGGTCAAACTGTCCACTTCCTTCTTCAGATGGTCCAAAATCACAACTACATTCGTGAATGTAGAGTGATTTTAATCCATCAAAACTCTTGTTCGCAATCAACTTCATGAAACCCATGCATTTTTCCAAGTGCAAATGTGAAGCAAACTGCAACATGCTTGAGAGCTCTCCATTACTGAAAATTTCACACTTGGAGACACTTATCATCCTTGTTGACTTGTTGAATGGTACATGAGTTGGAGTATTCCCAATTTCAATGTGAAATCTTTTCAATCTTTTCATCCAGGTATGATCTCGATTGAAAATTGATAAGCTATCTAATCTAATAAAAAGAGATGTCAGATTGTGTAGAGATGATATCTCATCAAAAGAAGTTGGTCCAAGAACAGTCCTTGGCCGAATATTTCCTGTGGTCCAACAATAAAGGTCACCAATTTTACTATGCAGCATCTTTAACATTTCAATCCTAGGCATTTTGAGGAAAAATCCTTGGCCAATGCTCTCCTTCAAATCACCTACAGGCAGATTTAATAGCCTTAGATTTGTCAACTTGTCCATTCCTTGCGGCAGACAACATAACTTTATATCATCACAATCAAGCAATTGCAAATTGCAAAGATTACCAATAGGTGGTAACTCTCTCAACGAACAACAATTTTGTAGTATTAGAGCATGTAGCTGATATAAACTATTGATGGAAGAAGGCACAGAACTAATACTAGTTCCACTCAGGTTCAGAACTCTTAGGGATGGAAATGCCAAAAAAAGTTCAACCGGAATTTTCTCAAGGGGATTCTTTTGCAATAGTAATGATGTTGTCTCTGGGCATTCCGTGAAGCAATCAGGTAGACGTTCAATTTTGTTGCTTATGAAAGATATTCTCTTAACAGAAGCTGATACTTTAGAATGTGATATCTTAGTTAACCCAAAGGAATTATCTATCCATATAGCAACATCACGAACCACATCATGCATCTTCACACAATCCATCTTATGGGCTTCTAGCAAGCAGGCATCTTTTAGACTTTCAATCGTTGTGATTCCCCTGTTATAGGCTTCTCTATATGTATCATGTTCACCAAGGAACCCCTCTGCCCACCAGCAATGTATAAGATCATCTATTGAAATAGCTGCCGGATATAAGGAGCAATATAAGAAACAACTTTGAATGTCACCTCTCTTTTTGTTAACATGTGTGCTTCTTTGCTTTGAGGATAATTCAATATCCTGAGATTCTAAAGAATCAAAACTCCACTTGATGACCTTGTAAACCTTTTTCTCTACATCTTTGTTATGAGGTTCGGACATTCTTAGTGATTTCATAGCATCTTCCCAGAGCTCGACCCTTGGCTTCCCTCTCATAGATGTTCCAACAACAGTGATTGCTAAAGGTAAACCACCACATGCTCGTGCAATTTCCTTTGCTAATGGTTGAATATGCTCCAGATTGGCAACATCTCCCGTATTTTTGATAAACAGTTGCCAAGATTCATCCTCATCCAATGTGGAAATATTCAGTTCAGTGTGTGTTTTCATTTGCTTACAAACACCCAAGAAACGAGAAGTTATAATGACCTTGCTTCCTGCATGATCTTCAGGTTGTGGCACACCAACATGATCCAAATCTATATCTTCCCAAACATCATCAAGTATGAGAAGGAAACTCTTTTTTTCCTTTAGCTTTTGGAAGATTTTGCTGGCATTGCTTTCTTCACTTCCATTGTTATCTACCTCCAGGTTTAATCTTTTGGCAATTTTTGATTGAACCTTACTTATGTCCATTGGTTTGGGCACTGTAACCCATACCACAATACCAAAAGACAATTTAGACCTTGACACATCAATCTTTCGAAGTTCATTGTTCAGATTCTTCACCAAAGTAGTTTTCCCAACTCCTCCCGTACCCCACACTCCGATGATGCAAACCTGAAAGGATTCAAATACCCCAAAAAATAATTTACCCACAAATGAAAAATACAACAATAGTCATGTAGAAGAAATATAGAAAATTAGAGAAAGAAGGATGTAGGAGGCTTTGATGCAACAATGGTCATATAAGTACCCCGTGAACTCTACCCAAAGTTCCGAGGACACACTTTATCTTTACGCAGTCCTATTTGTTGTGATATATATTATTCACTACATGGTTGGCTATAAAATTCAATTTTAATAAAGATTTAAATGGATCATATTACACAAATTTTTGAAAATATATACATAAATTATCTAATTTTACGGAGAGATCACAGGTTTACATGCCCCAGATTTTCGCCCTGTAATGGATAATAAGATCCCTCGTAAAGATAGAAAGTATCTTGAAAATTCGGCCATAGATTACGGATACTTGATGTCTTTTGCCTAAAATCTAATTAGACAGGAATTAATGAAATTGGCAGTTGCCAAATCCTAAAATATTTAAAATTAAATGTTGATTTAATTCTAACAATTACCTTATCATCTTCTAATAGTTGCAGGATTTTGTTGATATTCCTTGTTGCTGTTGACTGACCTTTTACTGATGGTCCCGGGATGAACTCAACTTTTTTCATCTGGTAATTTTCTACCACCAAATTTGATCCAAAGCTTTCTCCAACCTCTGTAAGCTTGCAAAGTTGATCTCGGATGTTCCGTGCTTGAGTGAAGACTTCTGAGCGAAGGCTGCAATTTGGACAACATTTATATGTAAGCATCTTCGCTGTTGCGATGCTTTCTTGCATAGTTTCCCATTCATTCTCCAGCTCGTGAACATCGTCGATCCACTTGATAACATCTGGTTTTGGTTTATAGCCTTCTCCTTCAGCTATCTCCACCTTTCCTTTGATATCATCTCTTAACTTTGTTAGCTTCTCCATTTCGTCCCTTAAATTTTCAACATTTGATGAGAAACAAACAATATTTTCGATCTTAGGATAGATGCATTTCGATATAAACTTTCCCACCTCAACAACAAAGCCACCTACAACATTAATAAGTATTTCCATTGAACAATTCTTGAGGTAAAGAAAAGTAGATATATTTCTGATCAGAATGCTAAACTGTTTGTGTAGGGCAGAATTCAGATAAGTAAAAGAAAAAGGCAATGACGATTAATTTAGAACTCAACAACTTAAAATAATTAGAATTCCGAACACATAAGCTCATCCATTAATGCAAAATACCAACAACCACACACAGAATCGCTACATTAATCTCAATAGTCCCCACTTGGAAAGATGCCTTTTGACTAAATGATTCTTTTCTATTTTCCATACATTGAATTGTCAAGCCTGGCAGTTAGCATCACAATCAGTATTGTCTTGTATATATGTCATCAAATGTAACCTATAGTGTATGGACTCTTGTAAATTTCCAAAAACCTTTTCATCAATCAATGGCATTATATTTTAGACTGGTATGAGAAATTTTTCCGTGTTATTTTTTATTGCTAACGTTAAATGTTTTGATTTGTTGTAAATACTGAATGCATGTTATGTTGTAAAATATGTTTGTTGAAAGGAAGTATACATGGATTGATGATTTGGTAAAGACTTTTTAGCTTTTCATGAAAGTGTGTTTGGTATGATGGAAAATATTTCTCTAGGTAAAAAAATTGGATGAATTAAGTTGTTTTTCTTCATAATTATCTCAACTTTTAACTTTATGTTATGGTTTTAACTAACATCAGACATTGTCAATCAAAATATTGTCAAAAATTCTATCACAGCACGATCTTCTTTGCTAATGATATTGTCGATCTATAATAAATGCTTTTTTGAAAAATACTTTATTTATAGCACAAAGGTGTAATAGGCGCTCTCAGATTTCAAACTCTTGATAGCTGGTATACATGTGCTATCATGAGAACAAAACATGGAAAAAGAAGATGATGAGCTAAATTTTGAATGTACAATTTCAGAATGCGCTAAAATGCTCATTACAAATTAACAAGATGATCACACAACACAACTGTAACAAAAAACTACAACAGAACAAAAAGGAACAAGTTATTAAGACATCTGACAGGCGCGAACTCTGCATCTCTGGTGCGGTAAGTTCCTTCCTCTGCTTTTTTAGTCCTGCATGAGGCAACAACAAGTGAACTCTGCATCTTTAGTGTTATTACTATAACAATAATTTAAAATGAAATTTTTATAAATCAAGTAGAAATAAAAAGGCAAATTCTATTTTGATTAGTCTTAGATAAAATAATTAAGAGTATCTTCACATTAAGTTGACATGAGAGAAAATGATCAAATTTTTTTTTCACAATAATATTTTTAAAAATCGAATTACCAAATTAATTGAGAAATGTGAAAGGTAATTAGCACATCACCTGAATCAATGCTCTAAATTTGATCCTTTCAGTTTTACCCGAGATATGGTACGAAGCAATGGTGTAAATTTGACTTGAAGTTGTCGTCATCCCACTCTAATCGGCTCCACCATTCTAATGATCCTCTTATCACTTTGATGTTGTTGGATGTTTGAATAGAGAGAGGCAACTTCCTTATTCCATAGCATCCGATCACGTCAAGTTTCTCCAGGTGTTCCCCTAACGTTTCTAATTGCACAAATAACTCTACCACCTTGAAACAGAAGGACAAATTTATTTTTTTCAACTGCTTGGGTACAGAAAAAGCGTTGAAAAGACATGTTAAACTTGAACAACCGTATACATCCAGTTGTTGTAATTTAGAAAATCTTAGACCCAGAAGTTGACCGAAATCAGAAACACTCTTTAAATTATATACTGCAACGAGGCTGAGATATTCAAAATTGATGAGCTATCAAAATTAATATAAAGACAAGTCAGATTGTGTAGAGACGATATCTCATCAAAAGACGTCAGTCTGTGACGGTCTCTCCGAATATTTAACATTTCAATCCTAGGCAATTTGAGGATAAGTCCTTCGCCGATGTTCTCCTCAAAATTACATACAAGCACATCTAATAACCTCAGATTTATCAACTTGTCCATTCCTTGCGGTAGACAACGGAACCTTGTATTATCACAATCAAGCAATTGCAAATTGCAAAGATTACCAATAGGTGGTAACTCTTCCAAGAAAGTACAATGGTGTAGTATTAAAGCACGTAGTTGACATAAACTATTGATGGAACAAGGCAATGTTGTAATACCAGTATGACTCAGACTCACAACTCTTAGTGCTGGAAATAACAAAAAGAATTCATGGGGAATTTCCCTAAGGGAATAATTGTCTTGCAATAGTAAAGTTGTTGTCTCTAGGCATTCTGTGAGGTGCTCAATTTTGTTGCTTATGAAAGACAATCTCTTGGCAGAAGCTGGCACTTCATCATGTGAAATGGATTCATCTATCCATTTAGCAACATCACGAACCACATCATGCATCTTCACATAATCCACCTTATCAGCTTCTAGCAAGCAGGCATCTTTTAGACTTTCAATCATTGTGATTCCCCTGTTGTAGGTTTCTTCATATGTGTCATGTTCACCGAGGAACCCCTCTGCCCACCAGCAATGTATGAGATCATTTGTTGACATTGCTGCCGGATATAAGGAGCAATACAAGAAACAACTTCGAATGTCACCTCTCTTTTTGTTCTCATGCTCTGAGGATAATTCAATATCATCCTGAGATTCTACAGAATCAAAACTCCACTTGATGACGTTGTAAACCTTTTTTTCTACTTCTTTGTTATGAGGTGTGGATATTCTAAGTGATTTCAAAGCATCTTCCCAGAGCTCGACCCTATTCTTGCCTCTCATAGATGTTCCAATAACAGTGATTGCTAAAGGTAAACCACCACACTCTCTTACAATATCCTTTGCGAATGATTGAATATGCTCCAGATTGGCACTATCTCCCGCATTTTTGACAAATAGTTGCCAAGATTCATCCGCATCCAATGTGTAAACCTTCATTTCAGTGTCTGTTTTCATTTGCTTACAAACATCCAAAGAACGAGAAGTTATAATGACCTTGCTTCTTGCGGGATCTTCAGGTTGGGGCACGCCTACGTCATCCAAATTTGTAGGCTCCCAAACATCATCTAGTATGAGAAGGAAACTCTTTTCTTGCTCGAGTCTTTGATAGATTTTGCTGGCAATGCTTTTTACACTTCCCTCATTATCTACCTTTAGGTTTAATCTGCTAGCAATTTGTGCTTGAACATTTCTTACGTCTATTGGCGGTTTGGGCACTGTAACCCATACCACTACACCAAAAGACAGTTTAGGACCTAACACATCCGTCTTTAGGAGCTCATTGTTCAGATTACTTACCAATGTTGTTTTCCCAACTCCTCCGGTACCCCACATACCGATGATGCATACCTGAAAGGATTCAAATGTCCCAAAAAAATAATTTATCCACAAGTGAAAGATGCAATTTCTGTCATATAGAAGAACTTTAGAAAATTTGAGAAACAAGGAAGTGGTAGGCTTTGATCATTCAGTCATAATCTCTTGATCTTAAATTTGTTAGCTTAACCTCCTTAAGAAAAGAAGCAGTTGCACCAATATTTATAATAGAAAAAAAAATCAACTTTTGGCTAAAAAACATTTTGACAATAAAATCTAATTAGACAGGAATTAATAAAATTAGCAACTACCAAATTCTAAACTATTTAGGATTACTAATCTTGATTTAAATCCAGTAATACCTTATCATCTTCTAACAGTTGCAGGATTTTGTTGAGATTCCTTGTTGCTGTTGACTGACCTTCTATTGATGGTCCCGGGATGAACTCAGCTTTTTTCACTTGGTAATTTTCTACCACCAAATTGGATCCAAAGTTTTCCCTGACCTCTTTAAGCCTGCTGAGTTGATCTCGGAAGTTCCGTGCTTGAGTGAAGACTTCTGAGCGAAGGCTGCAATTTGGACAACATTTATATGTAAATGTCTTTGCCGCTGCAATGCTTTCTTGCATAGTTTCCCATTCATTTTACTTCGCGAACATCTTCAATCCACTTGACAACATCTAGTTTTGGTTTATAGCCTTCTCCCTCAGCTTCATCCACCTTTGCATTGATATCATCTCTAAACTTTGTTAGATTCTTCATTTCCTCCCTTAGATTTTCAATCTTTGACGAGATACATACAATATTTTCAATCTTAGGATAGATGCATTTACACATGTACTTCCCTACCTCAACAATAAAACCAGATACAACAGAAGAAAGCATATCCATTGTACAGTTAAAAGATGTTCAAGGCAAAAGAGACGAAGACTATGCAATACTACATGGGCGGAGTTAGAGTATAAATTATGAGTTCTGTTCAATCCAATAACTTTGGTCTAAGTTCATTAAATATATACAACTATTAATTTAGAACTCACCAACTTAGAATTAGAACTTCGAACTCATAAGCTTCGACAGCAATTGCTAATAATTGAACACATACTCATCTTTACAGGCTAAAGTCTGTCCATACATTAATCTCAAGAGTCCCCACTTGGAAAGATGCCTTTTGACTAAGGATCCTTCTCTATTTTTCCAAAAAACCAGATAAATATGGAAAACACTACCAGAAAAGTAGACCTTTTTTCACCGTGAATCAATGAAAAAATTATACTAAAAAGATTATTTTCCCACCCGTTTCCCATCAAACAACTCAGGGAAACACACGGTGGGAAACAAACTCTCATTGAAATACTGGAAAGCTTTCTAATTTTTCCATATAAAAACGCTATTATTTTTTTCTTTTCTTACTAATTCAATCAAAATATATGTGGCCGCTGAAGTTTTTTCAATGAGAAATTTCATCGTGAAATAATAATTTCTTCCGTAGTGAATAGTATCCTCAACTTTATCAAAGTTTCGTAGTAGATCCTCAAGTCCAGATTCTTGTTCTGCTATGGTAATATTTTTCAGTTGTGGTATTATTTGTTAGAAATCAAAAGAACAAACATATAGTTAGAAATAATTGTATCTAAATTAATTTATAAAAGTGAATTGAGACCTAAACTAGTTTATATCAGTATTAATTTGAACTTAAGAATATTGTTTATAGCAATACTAATAACATTCTGTAACGCATGCACATACTCCAAAAATGTAAAAAATAATACTCAAATTGATAAAAATGCATTTGAATAAAGGAGTAGGAGCAATACTAATAATATCCTGTAATCTTTTCTTTAGGCAGGTACACAACATACACACCATAATCTCACAAGTGGGGTTTGGGATGGGGAAAAATTATGTCCCTACCTTGGCGAGGTAGAGCATTTGTGTCAGATAGACCCTCGGCTCATCTCTTTCAATCCTTAATGACATCAAATTGTGAAAGCTTTTTTTCCTTTTCTTTCCACCAGACAAGAAAGAATCTCTTCCAAAACATCTGTGAACATTTTCTTTTTGGATAATGTTTGGTGCCCAAGCCAACAAGCACCTCTACTGTTTCACGAGTACCTAATACCTCCTACAAGCATATGTACCGAGTGACTAATATTTGCAGATGTTTTATAAACCTCTCAAAAATTAAAAGAACGAAAGAAATAAAGTACAGAAGTGACGCGCTAAGTTGTAGACAGAAGTGTATACTAGTGCCTTAAGCATCTCTGTACAGAAACACCCATGTGAGTGTTGAACATGTCATGGAACAAGTGGTTTACTATCCCAGACCTCCCTTGCTCCAACTAAATCAGGGCGGTATCTCTTTGCTAACACTTGTACTTGTGCATCAAATGACTTGTTTTCATGTTGACTTATTTGACGCACCATCTCTTTCCATCTTTTTCGACATAAATCTCCATGCCTGTGGGAGAGAAGATTGTCCCAATCCACGTCCTCTATGCAGCTTGCGTCCAGTTCAAAAAGGGCAGCAATTAAGCGATAGTCATCAGTATCTGCCCATTCACCTGCAACCACCATCGAGGATGTTAATTGTCTGTACCATTTATTGCAGCAATGGTGGGAAATCCTGGTGGACAAATTGTCACTAATTGAACTCCAACAAATATTATCCCGTAACATCCCATGCTTAGATTTCCTTTCGTCAGAGAGCTTAAGTTGCAGATCGGTGTTTACTAAATCAAACAATTTCTGTACTTCCTCCTGATCCCACTGTCCCCTCTTCTGATTTTCCAGTTTTATCCTATGCCATGCATTTCCTACATGAACCGGATGTTTCCCAAGTTCATCCGCCAAGACGGTCCACTTATTCCCATGTTGTCCCTGGAACTTCCGTAGCATCCCATGCTCTTCTTCAGTCCATTTACGCTTCTCTCCCATTCGAAACAAACGTTGTGCACGATAATAAACTGCTCTGTAAGGCCTGTATGGTATAGCCTTCCCTATCTCTTTCCAGCAGCCCCTTACTTCAGGATAAGACTTGCAATTCAAAACCTTTTGCAACCCTTCATCGCCCAAATTATATACCTCTATGTATCTACAAACAGCATCTTTGGCGATTTCATCTTCTTCCTGTGTGAATTTTTTGCCAAACAGTAATTCTTGTTTGTTATTTTCATGCCTCTCATTGCTAGGTTCACTGATTGGATGGAAAAACTGTACATCATCAGAAAATCTCACTCTTTTTTCAGTCTTTTCATTAGAAAGATCTTTCGAATTGTTCCCTAATTTTGTCTCTTTCATCTTTCTGATATTAGCATCATCTATTTGTATATCTTTCGTCTCTTCTATACCTGTCCATCCTCTCTTTTCTTCTTATCCTTTTTCCTTTTCTTCCTCTTCATCTCATCTGTAGCTGAAACATCACCTTGAATGATGCCAGCCACAATATCTACCTGTCCATCCTCTCTTTTCTTCTTATCCTTTTTCCTTTTCTTCCTCTTCATCTCATCTGTAGCTGAAACATCACCTTGAATGATGCCAGCCACAATATCTACCTGTCCATCCTCTCTATTCCTCTTATCCTTTTTCCTTTTCTTCCTCTTCATCTCATCTGTAGCTGAAACATCACCTTGAATGATGCCAGCCACAATATCTACCTGTCCATCCTCTCTTTTCTTCTTATCCTTTTTCCTTTTCTTCCTCATCACCTCGTCAGCTGAAACATCACCTTGAATGACACCAGCCACGATATCTACCTGTCCATCCTCTTTATTCCTCTTATCCTTTTTCCTTTTCTTCCTCTTCATGTCATCTATAGCTGAAACATCACCTTGAATGACGCCAGCCACGATATCTACCTGTCCATCCTCTTTATTCCTCTTATCCTTTTTCCTTTTCTTCCTCTTCACCTCGTCAGCTGAAACAACACCTTGAATGACACCAGCCACAATATCTACCTGTCCATCGTCTTTTTCCCTCTTATCTTTTTTCTTTTTCTTCCTCTTCACCTCATCTGTAAAATTTCCACCAGAGCCCTCATTGAGCATCTCAACTGCCTTGATTTCCTGTGTTCCGCTTGCACTTTCATGAGCAAGTGTTTTGGTGTCTAAACTAGCATCGTGCATTATCAGTATCTCCTGCTCATTCTTCAACTTCTTTTTCTAATTTAAAACATTTTTAACAGCATCCTCGCACCCGTCTTTACTGGATTTCCCAGGCTGTTTTCCATTACCTCGTTCTTTCTTTCTCTTGATGTCACTATCTTCACTTTCTCGAGGTGCTTCAGTTTCCATCTTTGTCTTATCCCTTTCTTTCCCGATCCCTGTAAAAGAGAGACTCTCTTCCTTGAAACATGAATCATGCTCAACAGCTTTAACATCTCCCTTTGTCACTTTCGAATCATCGGTGACAGCATTCTTTTTCCTTTTCTTGGATTTCTTCTCCGACTTCATGAGCATATCAACCTTCTCATCTCCTTGAACCATGCCTCTTTTAGAAAATGCCACCTATGTGTCCTCTCGCAAAGCACCAAAAGTGGGCTCTCTGCAAAAGAGAAAAATAGAGAAAACGTATGGTTAAGAGAGAAAGTGATATGGATTAGCACACACAATTTAGCGCTCATCATACAATTAGATAGGATATGACACACCTGAAGCTTAACGAGGACATGACCTTAAATAGGAGGATATGAAAGTCGAGGATTAGGGTAGAAGATTAATAGTTAGTCAAGCGTTAGTTTTCCCTATCGAAAGCAGTATTAGTACTATCCTACTATTTTATGCTTCGATCTTATTACTACTCGTTGTTTCTTTTTGCTACCGTTTCTTTTCTTCATTATTTTCACTATTGTATCTAAAGATGAGAATCAAACTATGCAATCAACGTATCATCAAAAAGACCTTTTCTTAACCTCCCCGAAACAAGCTGCAACACACAGCAATACGTATAATTTCAAACTTCAAACTCTCTTTCTATACCTAGAAACAAAATCATCTAGAACAAACAAGAAGAAATCGCCTAGTATTTTTATCTCTCATACCTTATGGTTCTCCATCTACTTCATTAACCACTACGTCACACCCTAGGTGATACACTAAGGGGACGTTTGGTAGAGTGCATTTTATTAAATACAACAGATAAAACATTATATACGAAATAATATACTTAATTCAGCATTATTCTTATACGCCCTGCCAAACGACCCTAAAGTGATAAAATTAGAAGGAATACCATGAGAAACAAACTCAAATACCAGCAAAGACAAAAAATTTAGGTAATTTCTCTTCGTCTATCTAAAACTTAGCAGGGTGTTCTCCTATACCTAAAATGCAACTGCGCAAGTCGACTCGAACACCATTATAAATAACTAAACCTTAATAACCAGTGAAACAATTCCAAAAATCACAAAATTTCAAAAACAAAAATGCCAAATTTATCAAACCTGAATGCCAAAATCACTGGAGAGCAGCAATAAATGCAAAAAATCCAATCAAATCCAAACGTAATTGATTTGTGAATTCTCAGTTTCAAGTACTGAAAAAAAAATTAGGGATTTGGAATTTGGAAATCTAACTGGTGAAAGCAAATGTCTTATTTTTCGGGTTAGAATTATGGGCCCAAACGCTATTCAGGCCTTCCTATCCAATTTATTGGGCCTAATACAAAGAGACCTATAAATTTCAGCCCGTTAAGTCTGTATTTAATTGCACTATTTGTTCTTCTAATGAATTGGGGTTTAATTTTTACTATTCAAATGGATTGATCTTTAATTTTTGTCCGTGATAATCAAACTTATGAATAGTGGAGCGTAAGTTCTTTAAGAGTGCAGAGCATAACTTGTGAATATTGTGGTGCGAAAATTATTTGTGTTGAATGACAAAAATTAAAGATCCATACAAAATAGATATAAAAGCACAAATGACCCTTAATCCGGTGAGTTAAGGTTGGAGAAAATTTGCTCAAACACTAGCTTATTTTAGTCTAAATGTGTGTTTTTAATTTAAAAAAATACTTATGTTAAAGAGTTGGGATGTTTGGTTAGATTTTAACAGGAAAATGTGATTTTGAAAAATATAGTTTCTCCCTATAAGTACGTCTTGAAAATCTAGTCAAGTATAAATTGTGGTTGTTAAATTAATAATAAGTATTTTTCAAATTGATTAACTATACATTAACTATTATCCTCCAAAAGTATATTTTTCTGAAAATACCTATAAAATATTTCTTAAAATACATAAATTTTGAAAGTTTCCAAAAAAATATCGAGTAAAATGAAAAACTTATCTCTCATCAATCAATAAAGTTATCCATACAATTCAAGAACATTATTGTCACAATCAAACATAAAATGACCATTTAAAGTAAAGCATTACTATATGTAGCATCATAACAATAATATACACGATCTTATTCTAACGTAATCAATTAGTGGCTACAAATTAAAGATGTCAAAGTAGATAAAAGAAAGAATACTAAGAATATAGTGTTATAATGGAACATTGATTAAAGATCCTCAAATAGTCTTTCATGCTTTTTAAGTATCAACTTGTTAATTGGCCTTCTATTTTCTTTTATTGGCTCTTTTATTATTGGGTATAAATAAAAGAGATGATAATATCACAAATGAAAGCACTATTTTTCCCTTTTTTGCAAAACATAGAGTAAGGTACCCTATTTGGTATTCGGTACAACTATCCGATTTTGAGATCATCATTTAAGACAAGTATATAGTGCATAATATAAAAATTTGTCACATTATCTACTTCGAAACAATTTCATATATACAGTGTCAGAAGTTAAATTTTAGATAAAATATTTAAAGTTATATGACTAAAGTTTAGACATATATTTCTTGAAGTTTTATATGAATATAATTAAAGCACATAAGCATGAAATTTCATAAATTGGAGTTCAGACACATATACACGAAGTTTAGTCATTTTTATATGAACTTTAGCCATATGCGACTCAATTAAGTCCTTTTTTTCTAAACTTTAGGAGGAAATTCATGAACATTAGTTATATTAAACTTTAGATATTTTATCAATTAATCCTAATGTTCAGACATGTGATGTTTGAAGTTGTTCTAAAATGAATAGACGTACATAAAATAAAATGGGTACATGTTGATTACATAACAATGTTGCAATAACATGTGAAAATTATTTATGTTTGCTGCCCGTTTTAGGCTCCCGACTAATTCAGATCCTCATCATATAACATCCGTCAAAGAGGATATTGCAGCCTATGATTTTTCTACTCTAAAGACTTAAACTCAAAAACTTTGATTTTTGAAAGTTAAATTATATGAATTTTAATAAATGTTTTAAGATATATACCTTTTTTAACTATATTATTATGAAAAGGATTGTAATTTATAGTATATTTTGTATAGTTTAAATTAATTTTTAAAATATTAAATTAATCTAGTTGACTCAAAAAATATATCACTTAAAAATGAATGGAGAGAGTATCATTTTATTGGAACTTCCTCCCTTTCCACTAAACTATTTGAAAGGTAAAAGGTAGTAAACATTGATTGATTGAACTTGTCAATATCATATTTCATCACCAACTTTATGTGGATTGAAATGGAAGGCTTTTGAGTTGAATTATAATTGTGATATGGGAAAAGTAAAAATTGACAATTTGTTGATGCAAAAATTAGGTCATAGTATAGTAAGCCAAAAATAAAGATTTTAGTGCCAAAAAATACACACAAAAGTGAGAAAAGAATGACTGTGTGGATGAAATAAGTTGTATTTTGATAAATAACGATTATGTCATTGTGACATAAACAGAAAAAAAGTAAAACAGAAAAAGTGGTCAAATTTTCCTAAAGTCGAATATTTCTTCCCCTTTCTTTGTTCACTTCTTCCTTTTCTTTTTTTTAATCATTTGGAGTTTAATTAATTGAATTTATGCCGAAAATTTTCATATTTTAAAATTAAAATGTTACTTATTAAAAATTATTCTATTTTTAGAGTTTGAACTTAAAATTTTTGGTCAAAAATGGAAAAACATTGACGGCTAGTGATGGAGCTAAAAGATTTATTAAGAAAGAAAATTGAAATATAAAAAAAGTAAATACAAGAATAGATCAAAGATATTCAATACATATACATTATATACACAAAAAATAATTTGATATATATATATATATATATATATATA